GCTTACCATTCTTTGGGGGAAGATAGAGATGGTCAACAAATATGTTAGATGGCTATGAATGTTAGGAAGGAACCAGAATCTCATTAGGGAGACTTTTTCATATATACAGACGAAGAAAGACTGTCTGTGGAGCTGAGCTTGAGTGGAGATCTGAAGGGGTTGAGGATACTGGTTGTGTGGGTTACTGGGATGAGAACACTCAGGCAGAAGTACGGTAAGTACAAAGGCCCTGGGGTCTGGGTATACCAGTGTTTGAGGGATATCACAAAGGCTATGTAGCCTGAGTAAAGTAAGTAAAGGCAAGAAAGGAGCAGGCAAAGTGAGAGAGCGACAGGGGATCTCTTCAGGAAATTCTAGTGAAAGGTGCCATCATCTGATTTGTGTATGTGTGTGTGTGTGTGGTGGAGATCTCATTCAGGGCCTTGTACATGCTATACATCCTTGTAGCTCTTAGTGCCACAAAGGAAAAAGCTGGGAGTGATAGGAGAGATGGTAGTGACTGGAAAACATGGTGATCAGGGCAGATTGGGCTTCTGGAAGTCTTTGCTGATACATACAACGTGAGATAAGAGAAGGTGTGAGCATGCAGATTTTGATCTGAACAACTGGATAAGGAGTACAGCTGTTGGAGCTGGAGAGATAGCTCAGTGGTTAAGAGCACTGGCAGCTCTTCCAGAGGACCCAGGCTCAAACACTCAGCACCCATATGGCAGCTCATAACTGTCTGTAACTCCAGTTCCAGGGGATCTGACATCTTCACTCCAATGCACACAAAATAAAGTTAAATAAATTATTTGAAAAAAGATTGCTAGGCATGGTGGCACACATCTTTAATCCCAGCACTCCAGAGGCAGGCAGATCTAGTTTGAGGCCAGTCTGGCGTACAGAGGGAGTTCCAGACCAGCCTGGGCTGTTACATAGAGAAACAAAACAAAACAAAAAGTGCAGTTGTCTCTTAGCCTCTGAGAGAGAGAAAGAGAGAGAGAGAGAGAGAGAGAGAGAGAGAGAGAGAAATACCAAAATCCATGCTCTTTCCTATGGGATGTTTGTTTTCTGCTTAAGACCCACGTTGGGATTCCTGGTTCAACTCTCCTATCTTGTTTTGTTAATCCTGTCTTTGATTTCACCCATTAGAGCGAGCGAGTAAAGTCATGGCCTTGGATGTGGTTTGTTTCAGAGGACCGAGCTCAACCTGACAAGGTTCTCCTCTGCCATTCCCTTATTTCCTGACCTACTTATTTTGAGACATGGTCTCATGTCTCAAGTAGACCTGAAGCTTGATAAGTAGCCAAGGATAACCCTGAACTATCTTCCTGCTTCCACTCTTGAATGTTGGCATTATAGCCATGTGCTACCAGTACTGGGTCTATGCTGTGCTGGGGCTCAAAAAGAAAAGAAAAGAGAAGAGCATTCTACCCATGAAGCCATGCCCCCAGCCCTTCTGCATTATCTTTTAATGATTTTTAAGAAAATTGTTCTATGTATTTTTTATTTTTATTACATTTATTTATTTTGTATGTGCATGTGTGTGATGCATATGCACTATGGCATATATGTGAGGTCAGAAGACAACTTGTAGGAGTTGGTTCTTTCCTCTCGCCGTCTGTGCCCCCTGGGGCCAAACTCAGGTTGTCAGGCTTGGTAGCCAGGTCCTACACCCATTTTGCGGGCCCTTTTTGGTTTTCTGTTTGTTTTTGTTTTGAGATGAGATTTTACTGCCATGCCCAATCAGCTTTGAAACCCTAGGTTCAAGCAATCCTGTCTCAATTTCCCCCAAATCTGGGACTATAGATGCAGACCTCTGCACTCAGCCTCTGTTAACTTTCTTTTTTTTTTAAATCTCACCTATGCATCAACCGGGGTGTGGGGTGGTGGCACCTTCTCTTCCTGGGATGATGCGGCCCCAGCTGCTATTTCTGCCCTGTGCATCTTCCTTAGGATCCAGACTTTTCCTTTAATCTTCCTTTCTGCCCTCTTCACTGTGCACTTCTCAGTAACAGACTCTGTGGTCAATCATCTCTTCTGCTAAGCCGGGCAGAGGATGCCTTGATGGTGGTGTCATGTGCGGATATTGGTAACAGGAGTAGCGCTAACTCATTAAGGGCTACTATGGGCTAGAGATGAAAGGAGAAATGGAAGTAAGTGCCTTCCAGGTCAGAGAGAGGCAGCTCGGTGCTAGGCTCTGTCAGGAGCCCGGTTTTCCATCATTTTCTACTCTAGTGATCAGACCCTATCCTGATCCCCTTCAGAGAATAGAGAGCCCAGGGCTAATTTTAGTCTAAGGATAGTTGTAGCCCATATCTAGCCCTTAATCCTTCACTCTCCCCTAGTGGAGAGCCCCTGCCTGAGAACCCCCAGGAATTCAGCCCCTCCCCGCCCCATCCACACCCTCTTCTTCTCTCCCCACACCCAGGCTTCCCAAGCCGGCTGTGCACTCCAGGAGAGCTCGTGAAGTATCTCACTGCAATCATCTTTAATTGCTCCGCCCAGCACGCAGCAGTCAATAGTGGGCAGGTAAGGCTTGGGACAGCAGGCCTAGGGGCACTGGGCCACCCAAGGTGTTAGGTTCCAAAAGTGGATTAGGCTTGGCAATGGAGTTGAGGTCAGAGTTCTGGTTAAGTGAATGGGGTGGGTCAAGGTTGGGGTGGGATTATGGTTGCCATTGGGGTTGGAGTGGTGACTGGGTGGAGTGAAGGGCTAGTGTTGAGTGATGGCTGGGTGGAGTTGCACCCAGAGTTACAATGGCGACTCTGGAGAGCTTATATTGGGAACAGAACTTGACCTTGGCAAGAACTGGCTACATAGAGCATCAAGTTGCTCCAAGGCATGCCGGCTCAAGGCCTTTGTCTAGGATTACCTCCTCTCTGGCTTCTCCTCCCTTCATGGTGACTCATTCTACCTAGTCTTGGAACACTGGGTGGAGAATGACAAGGGGTGAGCTTGCTTTATGGCCCATTTCTGGGACCTTCCATAGTCTCCTCACTTCTAAACTTTGAGACCTGGGATGGCAGAGGTGGGATCAGGAATGATAGGATTCTTATGCTCAATCAACTGGAGTGTGTGTGGGGGTGTCTCTCCACAGCACGACTTTGGGGCCTGGATGCCTAATGCCCCATCATCTATGAGACAGCCCCCACCTCAGACCAAGGGGAACACAACGATGAAGAGTTACCTAGACACCCTCCCAGAAGTGAACACCACCTGTAGCAACCTTCTCCTCTTCT